CAGAATTGGAAACCACTTTGCACTGAACTTTTTAGTTGAGTTATTTCTCATGTAAGTACCCGTTTTATCAGTTATACTTTCGAGGAAATATTGGTCCCATAGCTTTCTGAACCAGATACGGATGTCAGGGGTATTCTTGTCTTTCCACATTGAAGCTATAGAGACTCTTGCAGCGTACAGCATTGTTTCTAGCGTATTTTTATTCAAGGAAATGGCAGTGAAAGGGTGGAGAAGGTAATGCATCAGGAAAAGGTTACCCAGACTGGGCATGCAGGAGCACAGCAAAGAAATCCAGCAGTGCCAAAAATCTACTGGAAAAACTACTCGGTTTTCTCTTTGCTTCAGCTTGGAGCGGATTAACTCTATGCACGGTTTATGAATTGTGCGGTGTCAGCCAGAAATTCCCTTTTGTACATCTCAGTCTCCCACCAGGCTAATAGAGTGCTGGCAAACGGCAGGGGGAAAATTCTGCCGCCTGCCAAAGTAGCCATGAACCTAACCGAGGAGGAGCGCTGCCCCTGGGAAGGAGACCCCTGCCAACCTAGGCCTTAATTCCGCCAAGGGAAAGTTGATCTGTGCATCGAGCACATGGAGCATCATCTAAGTTGCCGAAGCTGTGCGATCCCGGAAGCTGCTAAATACTAAACCAGCTAGACAACACTGTTTTGAGGCTCAGCAGCCAGATTTTCATGCCAGCTTTGTAACACATGTTTGGGGCATCAATTGGCTGTCGCACATCAAAGTACCTCAATGGGTTTGTGGTCTGTCTGTGTTCTAGCGAGAGTGAGGAACAGGAAGGTACCAAAGAGGACAACTCTGCACTCCTGAAGCTCCCGCTGAAGTATGAAACCGACCTGCTTTTCACCAGGTATTTGGAGCGAGAATAGACTACTAGGGGCTCTAGGCCACAACTGCTTATTCTAGAATAATGCTTTGCTTTGTCCTTTGGGTATCCAGGCCCTTGGCTATGGTGAGGCTTTTGGGGCTCTGCTTCCTTTTTAAAGGCACAGCCCCACAACAATTTCTCCTGTAAATGCCTTTAAGCAGAGTGGGGTGCTATAGTCGACTAATTGGAGTAGGTGACCTCTGTGGTCCCTTCTAACTCTGTGTCAAGAAACTGGTCTCCTTTACGTGAGTTTTTCTGCCTCCTAAGTGTGAGCAGTCTTGACTCTAGAAGTCATCACCCCCACCTGCCGGCTTGTTCTCAGAACTGTCGCTTAGACTGGCAGAAGCGATTAACTTGCAGCAGCTGAGAACTGTCATCTAAAGTGGTCGACAGCTTGCAATTTAGAGATCTATCCTGGCAACAGCTTTCTATTGGCTGAATGGCTTTTCTTTCTGCACCGAGAACTTCAGCTCCACCAGGAAAAAAATTTGTCCCACAAGCCACAAAATCCTGGCTACGGGCCTGTGGGTACGCCAAGACTTCCTCTTCAGGA